AGGAAGACATAGATTGGAGACATCCATGTGTCTTCGTACCGAACGGTACACACCTCAGCGGCGGTTGTACTCGGCTGGGATAATATCTCCATCGGTACCTTCCTTCTGATCTTGTCATTTATTGCCGAAGCCAATCGTGAGAGCGCGTCGGCGTGGCTATTTTCTGCCGTATCTCGTAGGCCTGGAATTTCTGTAGTAGTTGGTGAACTGCCGAGAGATAGGCTGACATGGAGGCATCCTTTGCTGCGAAGTCTGCCGTTATCTGATTTACTATGAGCTGGGAGTCACTGTGAATGCTGATCTGCCTCGCGCTCATGTTCTTGGTTAGCCGAAGGCCAGCCAGGAGGGCCTCATATTCTGCCTCGTTATTGGAGGTCCGGAAGTTGAATCGGAGGGCATACTCAATTTTGCTACCGTCCGGAGTGGTTAACACCAGCCCGGCGCCACAGCCTTGCTGGTTTGCCGAGCTATCCACATGCAGGATCCAGAGAGGAACGGAAGTGTCGAAACATTCGGTATGCATTTTATCTGGTGCAAGAGGAATGACGCTCGGCGATGATGGCTCTAATAGCGCAGGAGGTATGAGCTCGGAGCTGCTCCAGGGGTGGGTACCAAAGCTCTGCGCTCTGGAGTGCCTTGCTGACATAAAAGATCGGTAGCTCCGCCTTCTCTGGCTTCCGTATCAACACTGAGCTAACGGCAGTGTTGGATACCGAAAGGTACAGGAGTAGTACCTCGCCCGGGATCGGTTTTGATAACAGTGGTGCCTGGCTCATGTAGCTCTTCAAGTTTTGAAACGCCTGGTCGCATTTGGGAGTCTATGCGATATGATGTTTGCCCCCTTTCAAAGCTTTGAAGAACGGTACGCATTTGTCGGTAGCCTTGGAGATGAAGCGTGTCAGGGCAGCGACACGTCCGGTAAGGCTCTGAATGTCCTTCTGCGTCTTCGGCGTCTCCATGTCGATTATGGCTTTGATTTTCTCGGGATTGGCCTCGATTTCCCTTTGACTGATCATGAACCCGAGAAATTTACCGGAAGATACACCGAAGGCGCACTTCGCCAGGTTCAGCCTCATTCGGTAGTCCTTTAAAATGCCAAACATGAGGGCCAAATTTTCCAGGTGATCCCCTGCCGTTCGGCTTTTTACCAATATATCATCGACATACACCTCCATGATGCCGCCGATGTATTTGGCAAAAATCCAGTTGACGAACCGTTGGTAAGTTGCCCCCGCGTTCTTGAGGCCGAAGGGCATGACATTGTAACAGTACAAACCGCGATCCGTGATGAATGCCGTATGTTCTCTATCGGCAGGGTTCATGAAGATCTGGTTATATCCTGAATATGCGTCCATGAAGCTGAGCAACTCATGCTCGGCGGTGGCATCGACGAGCTGGTCGATCCTCGGTAAGGGGAAACTGTCCTTCGGACAAGCCTTATTCAGGTCGGTATAGTCCTGACACATCCGCCATCCTCCCCTGGCCTTCCGAACCATGACCGAGTTTGCAAGCCAAACAGGGTACGTCGCTTCCCTGATAAAGCCGATGGCTTTGAGCTTGTC